GGTCACGTGCAGTGATCATCTTTCTTCGTCATGCTATGTGTAGGTTGATTTTATCCTTTCAAATAATTAGAAATAATTTTGCATAAAATTATTTATAGAAATAATCAGAGATTTTTTTAATTTTGCTTCATCTCCATTTTAGTAGGTATGAAATCATTTCTTAAAAAAGAAATCAGATTGATTTGTCGAAAATTGAACTAAATTTGTAGAAACTAATTAAAAAATAACTGATCAATATATTTTGATGCAAATTTTATAATCTTGAAATTTTTTATATTTAATTTTATTATTGTTTCTTTTTTCTTTCGCACTAAATATAATTTTAGGTGTACTCAAAAAAATAATAATAACAAAACCGTTGTCTATATTAAGTGTGATAAAGGCGTAATAGCGTTGGGAACTTGGGACAAATACTGAAAATTATCCAATAGAAATATAATATCAAGAAAATAAAATTAGTTTTATTTCTTCAAAAACTAAGAAAAGACCAGTTTAACAAAAGTGAAAAACAGAATTTCCTTTTTCTTTTCTCTTTAATTAAAAAAAAATCTTGATCAACAAAATATCTCTCAACTCTGCGTCTATTAGATATTTTACACATTTCGGTATTCGATTCGTCACTTTTATCTTTGGTTTTGTTTCTTTAAGTCTATTTTCTAACTAAAACTATTTACTTTTAACAACTTTTTTAATCTCTCAAATGAAAATGGAAGACTTGTATCTTTATTTATATCATATGACATAATTACTTTTAAGGACTTTTTTTAACCTCTCAAATGAAAACGAAAGAATTGTATCATGATATATTATATTTCCTTGGTTAATGTAATGAAGTTTTTTAATATAACTCAAGCAAATCGACCTATTAACGTGAGAAAATTTAAAAATCAACGTCAAAATCAAAATTTCAAAAGCGGAATAGACACCAATCGAATTGACTAAAATTAAAATAATGATTCATTAGATTTCACTTTTTTTATTTTTTTTAAAATTTTATTAAAAGAGATTCAAATTTTGAATCTTTTGAAGATAAATACTATCTTGACTCATGGATACATGAGTTTATTTATATCAAACTATAATTTAGACTTTTTGGAAAATCTTGCGTGGGGAAGAGATTGAATACCAAGTCTAAGAAAAATGTAATTTCTGAGTGTTGGTACGGTACAGTAGCAAGAGACTTGGGTGTCACCCAAGATCCAGGTTCAAGCGCTCCCACGTCCGGAGGTAAAAAAAAATGTTCAAGAAAGGTTGTCTAAAAAAATATAAATATTTATTATTATTATTATTATTATTTTTCAAGGAAAAGAAGAAGAATTGTAATTTTTGATAAAATTGGGCGTGTGATTATTATGGAATAATCATGCGGTGTAGTGTCAGACGGAAAAAGATCACATGGTTGACAGCCTTGGGACATAACCAAAGATCATACGGCACACAATCTCTGGGCCCCACGTGAGACTATGATAAGTTTGGTGGGGGACTTCCCACCAAATCACACCCACTTTAATTTGTAGCCCAAAGCCAAAATAAGCAAATCGGAAGATATGTTTTGGGACTGTTCGGCCAATCAATATGTTAAGAAAAATAATAAAATTAAAAAAAAAAAAACATATGAGTTGTTGATGTTTATTTTCGGAACCTGTCACGGAAGTACCATGTAGGTCTTCGTTCCCAAACTCTAGATTATTTACACACATAAATCTAACATCGATGTGGTGCTCAGCTGAATGCACTCCAATGTTAAAGCTAAAATTCAAGTTAAACGCAAATGAGTATGACATAAGTAGAGTAGAAAGATAACAATCCTGAGAGTGAGAGTCTACTTGAGGATGTGGGTCGAATTTTTCATAAGGAATTATGTAGGGAAAGTCGATTTATCTTCATTAGGGTTACTCTTTTCTTTATATGTGGAAGGTGGATGAGAAAGGTGGATCAAGTGTGTAGTGGACACAGGGGATGACATGTCTCGCCAGGGAGTCGTGGGGACTACTGGCACGACGTCTGAGCAGTCATCTATGAGTGTGTGCAGTTTGGATACAAGGTGTCAACACTCGGCTCCTAGCTGTCCCTTATACGGATTGACTTGGTGTGCTCAATCCCTTGCATTGATGTGCCTGAAATTGGGGTTTGGTGTGTTTGACCTTTATCCGTTTTTTCCTGACCTAGTCCATGTTACTTAATTCAGTCAGAACGCATGACACCTTGAATTTACTTGATAATATGAATATATCTAAGTGAAAAAAATATATAATTTTTTCTCGTTGGAGTTATGATGGTCGACTTAGTTTTACTTGTAATAAATTGTTTGCATCCCTATTAGAGCATGGTCAAATATTGATTTATTTTTAAATCAATTGATATAGAATTTTAATAAAAGAAATAAATCAGTTGACGTTTTTAAAATTAATGAATAAATTATTCATTTCAAGTAAGGGTAAAAATTCAAAACGAGACGAGCGTGTAGAATGAAGAGAGAATATCGCGGGCCAGCCGTGTAGGCCCCACCTTGCAGGCCCGTTGTCCGAGCTGGACAGCTCACCTACGACAATCCCTTCACTCCATGTGACTCTCTATAAAAAATACATATAATTGAAAAAAAAAAGTAAAATTAGATTACAATTTTAGTCCTTTTTTTGTATACGATTATTTTATTTTTATAATTTAGTTAAATCTTTAAAAATGTATGTATTATTGTCATAAAACCTCTTTATGTGACACTTTTCAAACATGTCAGAAATAGTCACTTTAAATTGAATAGAGTGAATTTGATTCAGAAGGGTGATTTTGAATATTTCTGATTGCATAATACTTTATTCAAAATTGAAGTTTTGATCTCAACTATATTAGTTTAACTATAAAAATTAAAAATAGTTTTATATAAAATAAAGAGACAAAATATCCGTAGTCTAGTTAGTAAGGACTTGAGATCTCTTGATCGAGGTCTCAAGTTTGGATATTTTTGTAAGTTTAACAAAAAAAAATATTCTTTGATATCTTGGATTCGAACTCTGGGACAGGTGAGGGCGCCTCTGGATATAGTGGAGCAATACTCCAATTTTCAATTATAAAAAGAAGTAAATAAATAAAATAAAGGGACAAAAGAGTCAAATGATTTTTTTTTTTTTAATTTGAGTTAAAGCCATAGCAAAGAGCATGTAAGAAATCCGTCACATGGATGCTAGAAATTTGTACACATCTAGTAAATAAAAAAAAACTTTTAAAATTATAATTTGTAGGAGACTAAATTGGGAACAAATATGAAATTAGAAAGGCTAAAATATTAATTTAGCCTAAAAATTAAATCCCTTGAACTGCCGAATCCCGAAAAAGTGTTATAACTTAATAAGGAAAAGATTTCTCAAAAAATAAAACAAAATTATAAGGAAAATAATAAATTAAAAATTAAAAATTAAAGAACGGCGAACGCCTTGTTTGGCCGTGTCTGTGCCAGCCGGTTCTCTTCAACATTCTCCACTCTCTCTTTCTCTCTCTAGAGAATTGGACCATTATTCTCTCTTTATCTAGAGAGAGAAAGTGGGAGAATTCTGATTTATCACCAATCTATGGCTTTTGGATTTTAATTTTGAAGCCACCATAATCATTTTTCAAGTTCATCATCAGATTTTTTTTGTTGGGTATTGGATTTTGGATTTTGGATTTTGGATTACTGGTTTTCTCCTTTTCAATGTCAACCCCTAGTCCGGCGCCGACGTCTCCGCCGGCGACCAACACGACATCTCCACCGCCGGCCA